TTGAAATCAAGTGCGTTAAAGTTTTTCGTATTAATATTTTTGTTATCATATATATCTTATTTTGGCTAACTAGAGTGAACCATTACATCGGTATCAACCCTGTATATACGGTAGCAGTGCCGTACTTACTTTTTAAAGAAAGTAGCTCAAAGATGCGCTAAAATTTTACGCAGATTGTGAAGTTAGGAGTGAATTTCAGATTATCCTGATATATTCATCGTGATGAGATCATTTTCCTCCAACCTTTAGATGCCCAATACTTTTTTCGAGCGCAAAGTTCTAGGTCGGGTCTATAATTCACCCGTATTTTAAATACGTCGATTATGACAGATTGTGAAGCATGTTGTTTCTATGTTTTTGAACGTAAGACATGTTTTTTTACGCCTTCCCTATCTTTGGCTGTGTTGCTCACGTAACACGTGAAACACCACTACAAATAAGACGAATAGAACCAACACAATATGGAAGGAAATAGAGTAAGGAATAGGATGCGCGTCGATGACGGCGCAGAGATACAACTATTCGTACTCGATGGATGTCCGCGTTGCGTCTGCAGAATTGAAGGCGAGATGGCGCGAGGCGTGAACTTGCGCAATGCGTCGCTCGTCGCTCTGCCGCTAATGAGTTGTCGCCTGGATTTGCTTTTTTTAACTTTAGCCAAAGTTTACAATAGATCTATTGGACCCCGTGAAGTTGAAACAAACCAAGCCACATAAGCTATTGCCAATAATTGGACAATTTAATGTTTCACATTAAAACAGCCGTATGGATTTTTATGCAAATTTCAGTGAATTTTCAGCGTGGTACGAAGCAAATTCCTGAAACATTTCAAGGAACCCGCACAAACGTTCTCTTGTAAAGAATTAAATTGCCTAATCTAATTCGGCCTATTCCTATTGTGAAACATCGTAATCCTCATTTTAAGTGAGCTCATGTAAGAATGTCTTATTTTGCAACCGACACACTGTTTAAAAAGCAAGTTCACCTGCTATTTCAAGTTCGAGAAGGGAAAAAATCGTTCCTGAAACAAAGGTTGCGGCCTGATTCCCAGATTCATTATCGCTTTTCCGAAACTTCCACAAGTTAACATTGTTGCCAAACCACAGTCATCCGTCGGATTTTTCCCGTGCCTAACTTACACGGCGAGAGTGTATTTGATGTAAATTTCGGTAACAGTGGCTTTGAACTCGAGTACTCAGGAATGTATTCGTTTATCCTTTGCGGCGGGTAGTGGCTCTATTCCCTCGGCTCAGATAATAGCCTGCCGGGCGAATTCCATCAAACACCAAGACTAACGAGTCTCAACAGAGAGAACTTTAAGTTGGATGCCCAAGTTTCGCTCATCGTTGGGAAAATAATTCACTCGGGTCCGGCGTGGCGGGGGGCAAGGTGCCGGATTAGAAGACGGGCCCGGCGGAAGATCGCGATAATAAACAACAGCGATGCTATCTCGGCTGCCCTCGGATGAGGGTCAGTCGATGAAGAGAAGAAACGAAACATACCTAATTAATGTCCGGGTAGCACGGAAGCTAGACCCGCGAGGTGGTCGGTCTTGAGAACGCTTCAAGATCAGTCTCTTACATCGGGGCTCTGACGGCGAGATATTTCTTTCTGCTCGAGGAACATTCACTATCCGAACCTCGCCGTAGTTCCGTTAAAATTTTCACCTCGGATCGTTCTACTCACTTTTTCATCCCCCTTCTGCCAGTTTTCCTCCCTAAAGTAATTTCTTTAAGCTTCAGGCACTTTACTCGCTCAAAGCTTTTGGCCCCCTTCAGTTTTTCCCATCGGCGGAGTGATTATTGACATTGATAGACAAAGCCATAGACAGAGGAGACACAATCAAAACGCAGCGATCCCCTTGGTGGAACGGGTGGTTACAATGGACAAAGGAGCTAAGTAATAGATTAACCAACGGCAACCCACGAGGGGCCCATTAGTTAGCCCATCATTTTCCCCCATAGTCTGTAACAACAACTCGTGTCAACCAATAGGATCGCTCCATTTTCCCTTGGTCTACTTTGTCCATCGCTTTCCCTTAACTTCAGCTATAGCTTTACCTATAACTTTGTCCTTAGCTTAGTCTATAACTGTCAATAGCTTTGTCTATAACTTTGCCAATCACTTTGTCAATAGTTTTGTCTATCAATTTGAGCAATCAGCAGCTCTGGTCATTGATTCTTCACCCATATATGAAAGCACTGATCAAATATTCATATACTGAAACGGAAAACTTTTGACGTTCTTATTTGGGGACCACAGAGCTCATGAAACGTCTCGTCTGTTATTCGTCTTTATTGGAGCGCTTTGCTTTCTCTCTCTCTCATTCTATCATCATGCAGTTTTCTCAATTTTGATACACAAAAAATAATATTACAACAGCAAACCAATCCGGAGTCACTCTTCGTGTCTTAGCCAATAATACTGTAGATTTAACTTTTGCCGTATTTCCTTGTTGTTTACACCGTGTCTCCTTTAAGGTCAGAGTTCCATAATGCCTTTTTTAAATTTTTAGATCCAGCAAAGATTAGGTGTTCTAATTATTTCATTTAATTTCTTTGAGGGCCTCTTTGGTCGTAATTTTCATGATTCTGATTGAATTCTCGTCGTTGAATCGTTATTCTATTGTAGTCGGTAGCTGCCCACTTAAAGTTTAAAATAAAAGCTTGGTTTCTGGTATCAAAGTGGTAGTCTTGGAGATCTTCTATCTCCTTGTTTACGTGTTCCCATAATCATATATTAATTATATTTATATGCATGTCACATGGGCGAATTTGAGGAAAACTTAATAATGAAGAGAAAAATGTGGTCCAACACTGAGAATGTTTTTCGCATGCAAGGTTCCTGGTGCAAAAGAATAATAACGTTGAGTTTTTTTTGGAAAAGTTAGTGAATTCGCTGCAAGCATCGCGCGGGAGGTAATCCTTGAAAGTAGGAGCAACGCGAAATCCGACCAAAGCTCAGTTTCCGCGGTAGTGTATTATTCTTGCTCCCTCCTCGGGTGACCACGGCTAGACACGCGGGAGAGATGTTTTGAGAAGTTGATAAATAGTTTTTACCACTCGGTAATCGTTTGGAGCAGGTAAAAAAGTAACTTTCTTGCACGCTTTTTAAGGATCTGTTTGTCTCGACTCCACGCCTCGGAGCTTCTTTAATTCCGATCACGTTCTGAGAAGTTCCGCAAACGGAATTTACAAGGCAAACCGGGAAGACATTTTTAAAACCTCAGTCGGTCTCTTGTGAGCTGTTTTCGGGACGGTCGACCGGGGACGGTAGAGAACCTACAATTTTATGTCTCTCGCGTTTTACAGGTGTACCACGATAATCCTCGTAATCCACGATCTGTCTTGGATAAATTGTACAATTAAACATCTCCTACCGTATAATTTGATTTTGTATCAGTATGGACGTTCATAAGCACTTGAGACAGATTTCGATTTTTCGAGTTACTTATGGAATTTAAAAGACGTCGTCAAATTTTGGTCATAAGTGTTTTAAAAATCTCAAACTTTATGATCCTAGAATCCACTGTCTACAACAGCAGCCAAAATGTCAAGTTGTCATATCTTAAAGGGAAAATTTCATATGTTTAGTGAAAGTAATTTTATATTACATTTTTGCATTTTCTCCTTTTTTCTTGCAAACCGTTGATTGAACTAAGCTCAGATTCTCTTTTTATCCTGCTGTGATAAGAAAGAATGCCGCATGAGCCTCCAAATGTTGCAAAATTTCCCCTTAGAATATACGCATCTCCAAAGAAATAAGTAATGAATATTTCTCCTTGAAATTTTGAGGAACTTTAGATCTTATTATTACGAACAAAATTCTCTGTAAAGTTGGAAGAAATATACTGTCAAATTTTATGATATAAAATTCATGATTCATGAAAGGAAATTTGACAACTTCTGAAGGTTTATTTGGCGCTCTTCCTTATGACGACACTACAGTTGGAGGCTCAATCACGTTCTGATACAAAATATTTTAAACGCTGCGTAAAGAGCAGACAGATTACCTGAAAAAATGGACAAGAAAACACAAGTAAGAGGCAAGAGAGGGGTACGCGAAGAGAGATAGAGAAAATTGAGCGGGCGTCGAGTTCCAAGTTCCTCTTCCTTTTAAATTCATGCCGTAATAGATGGTATTCTCATCACCTCGGTTGTTACATCAAAGCATGTCATCCGCCAACTTTTCTAACCTCGACTTTTTAAATTTGCATGCATTAAAAGTTTTTTTTTTTTTCGAACTGCATACGTTAAAATTCACCTTTAGAAGAAAGTTGAGATTGTTTTTACATGTATATCTTGTTAAAATATGAGTGATCGGATAACTTGAACCCCGGACCATCTTTGTGAGACAGATGAGAGGAAGAATTTTATCCTCCACCCGTCCGCCTTTTTCATCCATCCTCGGAGTAAGGCTCATCGAATATCAGATCTCTCTTAGCTTGTAATCCTGTGCTATCCTGTGGAAAACTTACTATCATCCATTGTCGATCTTCTAAAATTTTTCAAGAGGATCTGAGTTCTTGGGAATATCTCATTAGCCCCCCCCCTTTCTCTCCAATGAGGTTTAGAAAATATTTGTATGACACACATTGTCAGAAACGTCTTGAAAGCATCATTCGTCAAGAGTGTCGTGATCACATAATTCTCCCGCAGATATGACAGAGGCAAAAACTGGAAGTCAGCTCTTTGAACTTTACCTCCAGAGCGCGATTACTTGGCTCGATTAATTCGCGAGTGACATTGAGATAGGCATGCGTTATGGAGGTCTTGAATGCAAAAGAAATTATCTATTTTGTCATCGTTCATTGACTTGGTACATGTGAGAGTCTTATTCCGTCGCAACAGCATTTTTTGATGTCGTCAAACAGTTATAATCCGAAGAATTTTTACTTAGCATTTTTCCTATCTCCCAAAAGATTTAATTACTTAAGATATACTCATCATTGCTCATTAATGTCATTGCCGCAGAGATTATTTACTGTTATTTGTTCACAGATCCAGGTATTTGGCTATAACTCTCAGCTGTATTCAAATTTTTCCGAGGCGTCGTACAAAGCTCAAGGAATAGCTGCAATTTCGCTTTTATTACAAGTAAGTATACTTCCTCTCACTTACTTACAAAACAACTCCTCAGAAAGACAACCAACCGGAACTTTTTAATATATGACCAGACATAAAATTTATTCGGATTAGCAGAAAATTTTCAAAACTGAAGCTAGAACAAATGCTCATTTTAAGACGCTTTAATTTGTACCTTATTGTCTAGTTGGATTGCATTTTACAAAAAGGAACCACAAGCATTTCACTGTAGCTAGGAGTGTGCAACTTACATTCTTTGCAAAAAATAACTGAAAACAAGTATAACATTTATCATAAAATTAAATTTAAAAAGGCAATTTTCGTCTCGAATTTATAGTTTATTGAGAGATAAAACTTGTTTAGTTGATCAGTTTACATTTGCAAGGTAAAAAAGTTACACAGTCATAGCGACAGTGCGAAATGCTCTCGGTTCCTTTTTACAAAATCCAATCCATGGAGCAGTTGGTGGTCCATTATTTTGTAGCTTGAAAACTCCTGGTTACTCTAGGATTTAAGATGTCAAAGGTCCATTTTTCAAAAAACTTGCTCTCCTATTTTTCCCGTGCCGATTGCGTTTCCAAGACGGCTTGAAAACTACCACGCGTGAAAAATGACTTTTTTCATTGAATGCAAGAATACTAGAAAGCGTGGAACCGTGCCAAGTAAAAATAAACGGCCCCAAGAATATGGACGCGAAGCCAGACGGAGTACGAGAAGAAGAATTAAAATTCAGCATTTATACAAAATATAAACTATTGTTATTGCGATTCGTTTGGGGGCACTGATTTGTATGCGAAAGGTAGCCTGGGGTCGTTCGAGGAGCGCGCCGCCAGTTTCAATGAAGGATCGCATCAATCATTTTCCGTCCTTCGACCGCTTTTCTCGCGTGCTCCCCCACAGACGTTGCCTAATCTCTCGATATATTGTCGAGTTCTCTAGAATTCTCATGCACAATACTGCCGTGCTAAGGAAGAGCGCCGTATGAAAATTCGAAGGTTGCCAAATTTCCCGGGATAAAACATGTATTTTTGACGAAATTTATGAATATTTTTCCTTGAAATTTTCAGATATTCTATATGAAATTGCGAACAAAATAGTCTGAAAAATTGGAAGAAAAATATTTAAAATTTCCCCAATAAATTCGTATTTTATCAGAGGAAATTTGGCAACGCTCAAAGGTTCATACGGCGCTTTTCCTTAGCATGGAAGAATCAAGGAGTTGGCGGCGATTTGGAGACGCTGCTTCGCGGGCAAGCTGCTCTTGAACTGATGCAATCTTGGCAGCATTTGTTCTTTATACACTCGGTCCCGTATCAAATCGGCTTGATCGAATCCACTTTGTATCCACTCATCCGGGTATTCATCTTACATTTACATACGACCCCCTTTTATTGGTTCACCTATGGAGTTCGCACGAATACCAACTCAAGGCTGAGCATGCTAACATAATGTGCTATCTAATAGCCCATGTTGGAAGTTCACGTGAAAGAATGGATTTTCGCTCGGATCCTGGGCCAGATTCAAAATCACTCCGTTTATTGTATGACCAACGCAAGTAGCTGTGGTCGCGATTAAGGTGCGATTTGATCGGAAAATGTATCGCGACCTTATCGACGTCGATTTATCGCAATATTATCGGATACAAAATTGCGATTTCATTGCATATTGCGATAGGATTTCGATTTTGTCGACGGTGATTTATCGCGATATAATAAAAAAAAAAAAAAATCATGATAAACTGAGATAAAATTTCGATTTTATCGAACGCGATATTGATTACTCCAATTTGCATATAGCTGATCAATGATTGGGTTGGAAAAAGCATCGATGGGCCCCCTTCAAGCCCCCAGCTTGGGCGGGGAAAGGGGGTCTCGATGTTTAATTGAGGTCGGTCGAAATATCGGATTTTGTTATTTCGATGGAGAGCTCTCTTTTTGGAAAAAGCTCAGGGACGCAAAGTGAAATTTCATTTTTCGAGAAATTTCAATCATATTTTAGGGGCTGCGTATGCAATCCAATAAAGTATCCGAGAATTCGATACGAAACTTCCAATTCGACTCATGATTTCCTTCCTGAAAATGCCAAAAATTAAGATTTATTTTGTCTATACGCTTCAAAGCATATTAAGTACATTTCAGAAAATTCAAAAACTTTCACGGAATTTCATTAAAATTTTATAAAAATTTCATTTTTTAATATTTCTTGAAATGCATCTCTGCACGGAGAAACCAGCTTCGTGCGTGGGACCTGAAGTTGTGGTCATATGGATCTCTGAAGTTTTCGGATCACGTATCTAAAAAGTTGAGGTCCAGCTGCCGAAGTTCGGGTCAGACATCTGAAGTACTTCGATATATACCGAAGGGTTCGGGTCACACATTTGATGAAGTACTCCGGTACATACCGAAGTGCCTCAATTTCTGACCCGAACTTCGGCAGCTCGACCTCAAGTTTTCGGATGCGTGATCAGAAAACTTCAGAGATCCATACGACCTCAACTTCGGGTCCCATGCACGAAATTGTTTTCTTTGTGTGAATTGGACGTATTTCTGCCCAATGGAACCATGTGTATCAAGACATGAGCCCTGAGACCCATGAGAATATATGCATAGCAGGGCTTATGTCATAATGCACATAGTTCCGCTTGGCAGAAATACGTCCAATTGAAGCTCCCTTTTCCTGCAGACGGTCCCATTTCTCGACTTGTTTCCGTTCACGAAGAGGGTGACAGCACAAGCCGCCCGAACACTTTGCCAATAATTTTACCCATAGTTTTTCGCCAAAACAACCCCTTTGTTGAGCCTCCGGGTGAATCGCGGGCGAATTTTTCAGGGACTCAACGCGGGACATATTTGCCGAGAGTGGGGCGAAGAGTCCGGCCACGGTTGATTCGTCAAACTGCAGCGGCGGCCCCTTGTTTGTCTAATGAATTACTTTGTTTGCTGTCGAACGTCAAATAGTGGCTCGGCGCTTCGGCCCAACCGGGGACCCAAACCCACCTTCACAGTTCACACCGGGCTTTTATCCCATGTTGGTGTTTACCAAACTGGGCAATTAAAATTTCCCAGCCGCGTTTTTCACCGGACCCCCCCCCCCCCCCCCCCCCCCCCCCCCCCCCCCCCCCCCCCCCCCCCCCCCCCCCCCCCCCCCCCCCCCCCCCCCCCCCCCCCCCCACC